CAAACCATCAACAAAATGAAAATGTAACCTACAGAATGTGAGAAAATATTTGCAAATCATATATCTGGTAAGAAGCTAGTATCCAAAATATATAAGGAACTAATACAACAGTAGCAAACAAAACAAAACAAAAACGACCTGTCAAAAAATGGGCAAAGGACTTGAATAAATATTTTTTCCAAAGAAGACCTACAAATGGCCAACATGTATATGAAAATCCAGGAAATGTAAACCAAAACCACAAAATATCACATCACATTTGTCAGGAAGGCTATTATTAAAAAGACAAGAGATGAGGTATTTGGCTGGCTTAGTTGGTGGAGTATGCAACTCTTTGTCTTGGGGTCATGAGTTTGAGCCCCATGTTTGGTGTAGAGTTTACTCTAACAAAAATCTTTAAAAAAAAGACAAGAGATGACAAGTGTTGGCAAGGGTGTGGATAAAAAGGAACACTTGCACACTGTTAATGGGAATGTAAGTTGATTTAGCCATTATGGAAAACAGTATGGAGATTCTTAAAAAAATTAAAAATAGATCTACTGAATGATCCAGCAATCCCACTTTTGGGTATATATCCATAGAAAATGAAATCAGGATGTCAAAGAGATATATGCACTCCCATGTTTATTGTAGCATTTTTTTGGTAAAGATTTTATTTATTTATTTGACAGAGAGAGACACAGCGAGAGAGGGAACACAAGCAGGGGGAGCGGGAGAGGGAGAAGCAGGCTTCCCACGGAGCAGGGAGCCCGACGCGGGGCTGGATCCCAGGACCCTGGGATCATGACGTGAGCCGAAGGCAGACGCTTAACGACTGAGCCACCCAGGCGCCCCTGTTGTAGCATTTTTAATAATAGCCAAGATATGGAAACAATCTAAGTGTCCACTGATGGATGAATGGATTAAGAAAATATAGTGTATATACAATGGAGTATTATTTAGCCATAAGAAAGAAGGAAATGCTGCCATTTGTGACAATATGGATGAACCTGGAGAACATTATGCTAAGTGAAATAAGCCATGCACGGAAAGACAAGTAATGCGTGATCTCATTTATATGTGGAATATAAAAACATTGAACTCACATAACCAAAGAGTAGAATTATGGTGGTTGCCAGAGGCTGAAGTTGGGGGAAATGGGGAGAAGTTGGTCGAAGGGTACAAACTTTCAGTTATAAGAGAGATTAGTTAATATATAGTATGGTGACCATAGTTAATAAAATTATGTACTTGGAATTTGTTAAAAGAGTAGATTTTAAGCACCACATCCAGAAAAACTGTAAGTGTGTGTTTACATATATTAAGTCCTCAGGTGAACTCAAGAGCCCAGCAACGGGGTGGAAAGTAGGATTTACCTGACCCTCTCTGCACATCCACCACAACTGTGGGCAAGAGCAGTAAGATGCTGCAGTATGTTGATTACAGGATGAGGTGCACCCGGCAAGATGGCCATAGTTTCATTAGCACCTTCAAGGCTTTCAACAAGCATATGAATTTGATCCTCTGTGACTGTGATGAGTTCAGGAAGGTCTAGCTGAAGAACTCAAAACAAGCAGAAAGAGAAGAGAAGTGAGCCCTTGGTCTGGTGCTGCTTGCGGGGAGAACCTCTTGTGTGGTCATCACCTGTTGATGCAAGTATCTGGCATTGCCTGAGTGCCACGTGCTGGAGCTGCCAGGGACCCAGGGATTGGGAAAGCTCCTGGCAGAGAAGTCCCAGCTGGTGTTCCGATGCCCCGGGCTCCTGCAAGACTTGCTGGGCCAGTCTGCCTGTCTGAGGGGTTGGTGGGCCATCCCAACGGGAGATGACCACACAAGGAAGAGGCACTGTTGCAGCCACTGTAGCTGCTGCCACAGCCAGTAAATATTGCAAGGGCCCCATCCCAATAGCCACCCTACCTATGAGCTGAGGGCACCCCCTTCAAGCATGACGGGCCCACCACCTGGCATGAGACCTCCCGCGGGCCCCCCAGTGGGGATCCCCCTCTGGACAAGGAACTCCAATGGGCATGCCCTTTCCAGGGATGCGGCCGCCTCCCCCAGGGATGCGAGGACTTCTTTGACCCTTGGCCACAGAGTTATGGAAGTAGCTCCACAGAGGCCTAATACCCCAGGGCCAGGTTACCACAGACCTGTTTGTTTGTTATGCCCTCGTTCTCAGAGTCTCACGGGATTGTCTGGTTTCCCTTTCAGGGCCCCCTCCCCCTGGAATACACCCACCAAGGCCCTAGACTCATCTTGGCCCTCCTCTGCACCCTGTCTGTTTCCTTTTACTTCCTTGTGGCCTGTGAAACTAGTTTATAATAAACTATTAAGAATATTATAAATGTAAAAACTAAACCCTCATGTTATAACACCTTAAAAGAAAACATGACATTGTACAACCTAAATATATACAAAACTTTTATTTGTTAATCATACCTCAATAAAACTGAAAAAAAGATTACTCAATTTAAAAAGGGGCAAAGGGGACCACATGGGTGGTTCAATTGGTCAAGCATCTGACTCTTGATTTTAGCTCAGTTCTTGATATCAGGGTCATGAGTTCAAGCCCTGCATTGGGCTCCACGCTGGGTGTGGAACCTACTTAAAAAAATAAAAATACATAAAAAATGGGCAAAGGGTTTGAATAGACATTTCTCCCAAGTAGATACACAAATTGCCAATAAGCACATGAAAAAAAAGTCCTCTAAATCATTAGTCACCAGGGAAATGCAAATGAAACCTCAAAGAGATACCACTTGCCACACAGTAGGATGGCTATAATCAAACAAATGTCGATGAGGATGTGAAGAAATTAGAGCCCTTATACATTGCTCCTGGTGTTGTAAAATGGTTCAAACACTGTGGAAAATAGTTTGGCAGTTTCTCACAGAAAGTTCAACATAGAATTACCATATCACCATGCAATTCCACTGGTAGGTATATACCCAAAACTACAAACAGGTATTGAAACAAATACTTGTAAAAGAAACAGTATTAATAGTTCAATATAGAAACAGCCAAATATCCATCAGTGGATGAATAGATAAATTGTAATATACCCACACAATGGAATATTATTTGGCCATAAAAAAAACGAAGCACTGATACATGCTACGGTATGAATGAACCTGGAATATATTATGCTAAGTGAAAGATGGCAGTCCCAAAGGCCCACATATTGAATGATTTCATTTATATAAAATGTCAAAAAAATCTTTAGAGTCATAAAGTAGAAGAGTAGTTGCCTAGGAATGCATGGTTTAGGGGGAGATGGGAAGTGACAGCTAATGAGTCTGGGGTTTCTTTTGAAGGTGGTAAAGATGTAAATTGATCCTGGTGATGGTTGTACAACTCTGAATATACCAAAAGCTACTGAATTGTAGACTAAATGGGTGAATAGTATGATATGTGAATTAAATATCAATAAAGCCGTTTAAGAAAACATGTCCTGAAAGGATGCAAGTGATATGAAAGTAGTTTATGTGCCTATCTAAACAAACTTCAACATTCTTTAATGGAATACGTCAAAATATAGGACTCAACAAAGTAGAATTAACAGTGTCTAGTATTCATACAAAATTGCTAGGCGTAGGAAGAAGCAGAAAAATGTGACTCATGCACAAGAAAAAAATAAGTCAACAGAAACAGAGCTAGAATTAACAAAGATGAATTAACAGACATGCATCTTAAAATAACTAATACAACTGTTATCAATATCCTCAAGGGTTTAAAGGAAAATGTGAACATAATGAGAAGAGCAATAAAAGATATAAAAAGAACCAGATGGAATTGCTAGGGATGAAAAATAGAATGTTAGAAATGCAACCTGTCCTGGATGGGATTAACAGAAGATTAGTGTGCAGAAGATCAGTGAACTTGAAGAAATACCCAAAGAAACTCTCCAATTTTAAGCATGGTGGGGGAAGGCTCCAAAACCAAAAATGAACAATTTCAGTCACTTGTGATACAATGTCAGGAACTATACTACACATTTAATTGGAACACTGCACCTAATAGTAGAAAAATATGCATCGTTTCAAGGGTACACAGAACATTGATCTTGATAGAGTATATTCTGTTTCATAAACTAAATCTCAACAAAGCTTAAAAGATTGAAATCATAAGAAATATGTTCTTTGACAAGAAAAGCAGTACTTAAGTCTAAATGCTTGTATTATAATAGAAGAGGAATCTCAAATAAGTTATCTAACCTACCTTAAGAAACCAGAAAATAAAGAGCAAAATAAATGAAAAGGAAGTAGAAGGAAATAATGAGCAGAAATCAATGAAATAGAAAACTGAATATAGAGAAAATCAATGAAACCAAAAGTTGGTTCTTTGAGAAGATCATTACATCTGATAGCTCTCTACCCAGAGCTATGAAGAAAAAGATGAGAGAAGACTTACCCAATATAAGGAATGACAGTGGGAACATCACTACGGATTCCACAGATATTAAAAGGATAATAAAGTGATCGTATGAACAACTCTATGGACTTATATATCTGATGCCGGGTGAAGGATAGAAGAACATGTCCTCAAGCAGGAAATAGTCCCCATAATATGTGAACTTTCCAAGACCTGAAGATCTGCAGACCTTTCATCTGGAGTCCCCAACATGTCCCCCCCTTCTTCATAATATTCAATCGATGGTTGTTTATTTTGTTATTGAGCATCTACTCTGCGAAGGATCTGCCCTCGCTCCTCTGGAGATGCCCTGCCCCAAGCTCAGTCCTGTCCTCCAACCCGCTTTCCCAGCACCCTTGCAGAACACCCTGATGCCTCGCCGCTTTATTTTTTTTTTTTTAAAGGTTTTATTTATTTACTTGAGAGAGAGAGAGAATGAGAGACAGAGAGCATGAGAGGGAGGAGGGTCAGAGGGAGAAGCAGGCTCCCTGCCCAGCAGGGAGCCCGATGCGGGACTCGATCCCGGGACTCCAGGATCATGACCCGAGCCGAAGGCAGTCGCCCAACCAACTGAGCCACCCAGGCGCCCTGTCTCGCCGCTTTAAATCCCACCTCATAATGCTGCAGGTCTGTGTCAGGCAGCAAGAGGAAAAGGTTGCCTAGCGAAGGCTGGCTGCAGGGCAGGCCTTTATTCCGTCACCGCCGGAGCGCCACCTGTTGCCTGCGGAGCTATCCTTGCTCAGTCCGCTGGTCCGGAAGAGGAGGGACCAGACTCCTGAGCCATCACCCTCGTGGCTGACAGTCTGCGACGCACACATGGGGTCGTCTGCGTCCAAGGCTGCCCACAGGGCGACCACCGATGAGCCCACAGAACCCGAGGCGAAACACCTGGCGGGTGAGTAGACAGCTCGTGAGGCCTAGGTGCCTCTAATGTCGGGCCCCCGCTCCCCTCCCCCAACCGTCATTTTCTTGCAGGAGCATCGAGGGGAGATTGAATTCTTACCCCCAGTCATCTTGGAGTGAGCCTGGAAGAGAACCACTGGCCTTTTTAAGTCCAAACTCTGAACTATTTATAAGTTACTCCAATAAGTTAGGACACACGAAGTGGTGGAATAACGACCCAGCCTTCTGAAAAGGGCCTAATTCCAAAGTCCACCCGAACCCCCTTATAAATCATTACATTCAGCAAGACTTGTGAGATAAAGGAAGGAAAAGTCTATAGAGCAGATCATCCCATAAGCAGTCCTAACCTAAGGTCAATGAATAGGCTTTAGAATGCTCAAAGACAGAATAGACTCTCAGGCTAGCCTTGCCCCCTATTGTTTGAGTTCACATCAAGCACTGACTTCATCAACAATATGTACTTTTGGCAATATACATTAATCCCACTGCTTTGGAAAACGTCACAGCCAACTCACTCTTATGATCACCTCCTTATTTTGGTATTTTGCTTAAAAACTCTCCATTTTAGTATTGATTTAGTATGTGCCAAAATTGGCTTCTCAAGCCCTAAAAGATGAACAATAGTTAGCTATGTGAGAGGTGCATGGAACCAAAGGGGGCACTTGAGTCAGTACCATGATTCCCAAAGGTTCAGTCCAAAGGCTGAAATAAATAGTGGGAAAGTGGAAACAAAAAGCTTGCAGAGGAAACTTACCAGAAAGAGGAATGAACCTGACTTAGAGAAAAAACTTGAATAAATGGATCTAGGTTAAGGTCAGCCTATTGCTCCACTAGCATATTTGCTAAGCATCCTCCTCAGTACGTATCCTGGTGCTACGCATGTGAACATGCTGATTAATAAGTGCTAGGGATGAAGTTGTTTTATAATGATAGCTTACAGTTTTTTTTTAAGATTTTATTTATTTATTTGACAGAGAGAGAGCACAAGCAGGGGGAACAGCAGACGGAGAGGGAGAAGCAGGCTCCCTGTGGAGCAGGGAGCTCGACACGGAACTCGATCTCAGGACCCTGGGATCATGACCTGAACTGAAGGCAAACACTTCACCGACTAAGCCACCCAGGCGCCCCAGTTTACAGACAGTTTTGAAACCACAGAGGATTTTGAAGTGATAAACAGTAGGGAATCATTGCATGTTGTTGAATGGAAAAATGAAATTATGAAAGTTAGCTTTTGAGGGGTGGTATGAAGTAAATTGATGGATGGTTATAATCCTAAGCAGGCACTTGGGAAGCTGTTTTAGTAAATCAGGTATAGGGGTGCCTGGGTGGCTCAGTCATTAAGCGTCTGCCTTCGGCTCAGGTCGTGATCCCAGGGTCCTGGGATCGAGTCCCGCATGGGGCTCCCTGCTCGGCGGGAAGCCTGCTTCTCCCTCTCTCACTCCCCCGCTCATGTTCCCTCTCTCGCTGTCAAATAAATAAATAAATAAAATCTTAAAAAAAAAGTAAACCAGGTATAAGGCTATATGAAAGTGGACTCAAGAAGAACAAGCAATAGGGGCACTTGGCTGGCTCAGTTGGTAGAGCATGTGACTCTTGATCTTGGGGTCGTGAGTTTGAGCCCCACGTTGGGGGTAGAGTTTACTTAAAATTTTTTTAAAAAAGGAGAAGAAGCAACAAAAGGTTGAAGGATGCAAGCAAAAGGGTCAGACATGGGGTAACACTACAAGGAAAGCTCCTGACTGAACCTCATGTAATGACACTTTTCTTTCAGGAGGCAGTGTGACGTAATGGTTAATATCTTGGTCAAACAAGTCTGATTTCAAATACCAGCCCTGCCACTTAACAACCTGCATGGCATTGTGTATGTTAGCTTCTTGGGTCCTATTCATTCATTCAGTAACTATTTGGGGACACCTGGTGACCAAAGTGGACACAGTTCCTACCCCCATCAAGTACCCAGGACACTAGCATAGATGGGCATTAACTGTAATGTAACATATATCCGTACAAATTGTAATACCAGTAATGAAGAAAATATTTTGGATTATTCCCTTTGTCATTTCTGACATTTGACTGCTCTGTATCTAAGTTAAAGTTACCAATTTTGGGTTAGAAAATTATTTCTGAGTCTGTGTTTTAATACTTGTCACTGTCTCTAATTCAGACCTAATACAGTACATAAATGGAACAAATATGAGTGTTGAACATCTGGCTGATATTCTTTCTGAGAAAACCGGGAGCAGCAGCTGGGTGGTAGTGTTCAAAGCCCTGGTTACTGTACATCACCTTATGGTGCATGGAAATGAGGTGAGCACGCCGGGTATTCACGTGGTCAGTCAAAGCACTGTCAGTTCATGATCGCAAAATATTCTTGGTTTGTCAAGGCTTATTATCCTTTACTTTGTGACAAGTGGGGGAAGTGAATAGCAATAGGTACCAAAAGGCTGATTTTTGCATTTTTACTTAGGAGTATATCTTTGCAATCTTTATTGGAGGGTAATAGAGTGGACATTTCTCTCAATTCTTTAGATTCTTTAGACCAAAGAGAGAAAACCCTCAAAGATGTATTGCTTTACTTTACCAGGAGAAACCAGGTGCCTGTCCACCTCTCCCCACATACACTCTTTGTATTTTACAGAACTGAAATGTTCTTTAACATCAAATTACTTATTCTCCTTTAACATTTTGTCTCAGTAAGCTTTGCATTAAAAAATTAGGATTTAGAAATTGACTGGATTTTGAAACGTACTATAAAGCAACTAATTATACAGTATGGTATTGATAAAAAGTAGAACTATGTATTTATATGGGAACTTGGTGGCACAAAAAATGTGGGGGAAAGTATAGAATTTAAGATAAAGCCTTTTGGAGAATGAAATGTTGCCATTTGCAACGACATGGATGGACCTAGAGTGTATTATACTAAGTGAAATAAGTCAGAGAAAGACAAAAGACCATATGATTTCACTCATATGTGGAATTTAAGAAACAAAACAGATGAACATAGGGGAAGGGGGAAAAAAGGGAGAGAGAGGAAAACAAGCCATAAGAGATTCTTAAAGGTAGAGAACAAACTGAGGGTTGATGGAAGGAGGTGAATGGGGGGGGGCTGGATGGGTGATGGGTATTAAGGAGGGCTCTTGTTGTGATGAGCACTGGGTGTCATATATAAGTGATGGATCACTGAATTCTGCTCCTGAAACCAATATTGCACTGTATGTTAACTAACTAGAATTTAAATACAATACAATAAAATAAAGCCTTTTGGTAGAAATAACATCCTTTGGAAAAAATAGAATGAGATCTTAATCTTACCCCAGTATACAAAAATAAGTTCCCCATGAATGAAACATCTATAAATGCAAAAACCTAAATTTTAAAATTGAAGAAAATGTAGGAGAATATGCTTATAATATTTGAGTAGGGAAGACACCATAAAGTTGGAATAAGATAATTTCCAACATATATATTACAGAAAAAAGATTAATGTTCAGGATACATGACCAGTAAGAAAAAAAGCAGTATAGTGGAATAATGCACAAGACAAATGAACAGAGAATTCATAGAAAAGGAAACCAGAATTGCTGATAACCATCTGAGAATGTGCTCAGATAAAATTTAAAATGCATGACAGTATCAAGAGTTGGGAAGGCCTTGAGGAAATGAGAATTCACATACCCTGTGGATGACATGTAAAATATTAGTTGCTGGAATTTATGACTGGGGAGAGGAGATCATTGAGACATGTTTAGTAAAATTGAAAATGCCAAGCCCAGTGACCCAGGACATCCACATCTTACAGCATATTTATAATAATTAAAAAGTAGAAATCACCTAAATTTCTATCAGTACAGAACAGATAGCTAAAACGAAGTGCATATATACAATGAAGTACCATATAACATTACATGGGATGAATACCAATGAGGCTAGATCTCAAAAACAATGCTAATAGAGGAAGTAAGTTGCAGAATGACATTCAGATATAATATTGTTTATGTAAATTTAAAAATACTTAATATTTGTCCATGAAACAAATATATCTGAAACTATAAAGAAAATAGACTATAAAGATTAAAATTATGATAGCAGTTACCTCCAGGGGAGGAAAAGGAAATGGAACTTGGGGATGGGCAAAGGGCACTTTCAACTTTGTCTATAAAACTTTATTCTTCTTATTTTAAAAATAGACTTGAAGCAGTTATGTTAAAAAGTTAGCTGTTATCATTTCTGGATAGTGTGGCAGCCGGATGTATCAAATTATTTTAAAATTTTCTGCAAATTAAATTATTAAATAGTTTAATGTTCACTATTGAAATAGTTCTGTAATTAATTAAAACTTCTCAAAATAAAAAAGGGGGGAATGGCTAGATAGAAAGTCCTGGGGGCAAAGAGTGTATATTCCCACGAGCTTTAATGTTTAACCCCTTTTTTCTCTGCGAGATATATAGACAGAGGAGAGTTGACAACGGTGCATATTCTTATGTTGGGTAACCCAGGATATGATCACGCTCACCTTAATCAATGCTCCTGAAATAGCTAGAAGCTATATGATAGAATTATGTTAAATATGTATTCACAATGATAAACTCATTAAAGAGCTCTATTTGTGGACAGAAGCTAATTTTATAATTTGGCACATTTGACAGCGTTTTATCCAACATCTTGCATCTAGAAACTCTTTGTTCACTTTACACAACTTCCTGGATAAAAGTGTCATGGAAGGTAAGATGATTCTTTGATGGAAATAGTCCATGTGGCAAGGAGGGAAAAGCTCTGTTTTGAAAACCATGCCTGGTTAAAACATGGGAGGTTTGAGAAGGGATGGTGACAGTGGAATGGGGAGTTTCAGGAAAATGTTAAGAATTTACAACAGTTTCTGTGGAGATGTGAAAGAAACTGATAAAGTTCAATTATTTCCTCTATTCAGGAATGTCACCATCAACACTACATCATGAGGTGATTTCAAGGCTTTGAGGAAATCAGAAATAATCTTTAGCAGAAAGTGTGAGGAATATTGGACTAGATAATTAGTAAGGTCCATTCTAGCTTTTGTGCTTCAAAGATTTGTTGAGGTATATGGGTGGATGTGAAATGATAAGTCTGTGCATTTATTGACATATATTGTAAATGGTTAATATTGGTTAAATTGTAAGAGACTCTTGATCTCAGGAAACGATCTGAGGGTTGCTGGAGTGGTGGGGGGTGGGAGGGACGGGGTGGCTGGGTGATGGACATTGGGGAGGGTATGTGTTGTGGTGAGTGCTGGGTGTTATGTAAGACTGATGAATCACAGACCGGTACCCCTGAAACAAATAAGACATTATATGTTAATTAAAAATAATTAAAAAAATAAAAAATAAATTGGAAATAATGAAGTATTTCATTTTTAGGCTATGCTATGTCAACCTTCATCAGACGATATAGCAGGTACTTGAATGAGAAGTCACTCGCATATAGACTGATCGCATCTGACATCACCAAAACCAAGAGAGGGTCAGTAAATATCATTAGTTTGTAAGCAAGAAATACTGAAATACATAAGTCCTCCGATATGTCGTTGACCAAAAACACAGCTTTATTTTAAGATCCTGATGTCACAGTGCTTCTTAAACTCTTAATTACTGATATCATGAGTCTCTTTTCTCTTTTATAGGATGGATGGTATGATGAGAACTATGGATACAAAACAGCTGCTAAACACTCTTCCAGTTATTCAAACTCAGTTTGATGCTCTTCTTAATTTTAACGTAAGAGCTTTATGAATCCTGTTAAACATACTGGTAAATGACGTTGTTTAGCAGTAAGTGGAGAAGGAATTGTTTTAAACTGTGGTGGTAATTGATTACTCTTTTATTTAATTTCCAGGCAAATCCTGATGAACTAACGAATGGTATAATACATGCTGCTTTCATGCTCCTCTTTAAGGATTCTCTTCGCCTCTTTGCAGCCTATAATGAGGGGATCCTTAATTTGCTAGGTAGGCTAAAGAATAAACATTGCTTAAAAAATAAACTGGTAAAAACCTTTTACCTCTACGTTTAGACTAACGTAGACTACATTTATTTTAGATTCCAAATAGAAGATCCTTTTAAGGTCAAACATAGTTTAAAATAATGAGATATCATATTGCTTTTTTGGATAAAAATTCCTTGACTAATTAGCCACAGAACTGTATAGTTTTTGTATAAGTGCTAATTGATATTTCTGGGAAATTTCTGTCCTAATTTAGCCTTCATGAATGATTCATTTCGCAGGAAGTGTTCTCCAAGCTTCCATGATTTTTCTTACACTGAAGGAGTTATAAAAGAGTAGGAAACACAGCTCATTCCCTCAAAAAGCTTCAGAGCTTGATGTTAGTAAATAAGATTACAGACTGGAAGTTGTAGAGATTAAACTAAACTAAACTATCTGTGTATGCTATTAAATTCTAGATATCTTCCCAGCATCAATGTTTAGCATATGGTACTTCATAAAAATCTGTTGATTATATGGATTGAATAGTGTCGTTGCTTGCTAAGACAGACTATAACTGGATTAAAGCTATAATTGTTCTGAACAAGTTAAAATGATATACAGATTCAGCTTAAAATAGATACTGGCTCCTTCATGGTAATTTTTTTTTTATTTTTAGACAAATATTTTGATATGAGGAAAAACGAATGCAAGGAAAGTTTGGATATTTACATCAAGTTCCTCGAAAGAACACCCAAACTGGTACAGTTCCTGAAAGTTGCAGAGGTGTGGAAATCTATTTCTATCCAAGGCTTTTCTTTACAAAACAGTGAAACTATACACTAAAATTAAGTAGTTCAAGGATTTTTGTTTGTAGCCATGAAGATAACTGTTGCCAAGCTTATCCTTCTGCCAGAAACAGCTCATATGACATATTGTCTTTTCAGGCAGTGGACAATAGGTCTGTGATCAGTTGAAGAAGGAAACACATGAGGTGACCCGCACATTTCCCCTGACACTCAGAAGCAGTTGAACTTCTGAAAACCAAAGCAAAGCAAACACAAGACAACAAAAACAAAACACAACATATTACTCACAGGAGAACAACAATCTGTATAACAGCTGACTTCTGAGTACTTGACAAATTAGAACACATTTGTATAGTATCCAAAATGTAGCTTAGCTCTTTCCAGAACAGCGAAGATTCAATATCTGGCAGGTCTTTTTTTTTTTTTTTCATAGGTTTATCTTAGGGTGACTATAAGTTTAAGTGTACAAGGCCTACCTTAGCTTGACATGTTTTTCTTGATCAACTAGGTATTTTCTCTTTTGTGTGCACATTGGTCTCACAGTTACTTTTCTTTGTTGCCACTCCCTGTTGTAATGTGTACTTTCCCCCCTCGTTTGTGAATTCAGCAAGTTGGAATTGACCAGAACAACATTCCGTATCTTACACAGGTCAGTGTATCTTTCCTATGTGTTTAAATGAGTTTTGTTGTTGTTACGTATATGTATTTATTATATTCATAATATATCATCTGAGACTCCATCCTTTGCCATAAATATACATATGTATTTTCATTTCCTCATGACTAACATACACACATACATACATATGTAGATACATAGACATGTGTTTTCTGAACAGGTCTTTGAGCTGTTGCTTTTATAAAAGAGGCCAGTCCCTGCTGAGTGCTAAAAGGTGACTCGTAGTAGAACAACTAGACTCTGCTTTTTAAATGGACAGAACTGATCAGTGGCAACAGCAGAATATTTGGGCTCTCAAGCAACTCATTTCCATTCTCCACGGCTCACTTATGCAGCTGCAAAATGGGTGTAATACTATTGTCTTTCTCATAGCAGTGTTGTGCGAATCAAATGAACTCAGGCTTTTTCCTTCCCTAGAAGCCGCTCATCAGGAATCTCTCACGTGGCAGTGGGTGGGATATGAGGTAGAGGGGTGGCGGAAACGAAGGTCTGGCAACCTGCTCAGGCAGCCTGACGTGCCTTTTGGACTCGCTTGTGCTCTGTCCCACACGTGCCATTGGGCTTGAGCAGTCCTTTCCTGCTCTGGGCCCCAAACTAATGTGGCAGGCTTTTAGGTCATCTGGGATATGGGCCAAAGCATTATTTTCCCTGGGGCGGGAACATGCTGTCTCCAGAACTCAAAGAGGCCTAACAGGTGTTGTGTTTCCTTTTTGATGGTGAGAGGTCCAAGATGCACTACATTATCTTCTATTTTGGATAGAATTTCCTGGTAAATCCCTGGCCACTGGAACCTTAAAAATGTTACCAAAATAGAAGGCCCCTGAATCTTTGTAGGGTTTAGCTCCTACCTTCTGGAACACATGTAGCTTTCTGGGTCTCTATTATACTGGCCACTTCCTGCTCATCTGATCCAGTTAGCATGACATCATGGATATAAGTGGATCAGTGTGATTTTCTGAGGGATAACCAGATGATCTGGACTTCTTCTGATCATAGTATGACAGAATGTTGAAAGAGTTAACACACTCTGGGTCAAAACTGTAAGTGTATACAGTTGTCCAGTCCATGCCTACAAGCTCTTTGTGATTTACACTTTTGATAGCAATGGAAAGCAGAACATTCATGCATACCGTGCATCTGAGACTACATTAATCTACCTGTACCGGAGAAACTGTTGTACCTGGCACGTGGCTACAGTTGGATTACTACTTGATTGATTATGCTGTAGTTTCTCATTCTCCAGGGCCTGACTGGTTTTGGGGCCATAATGGTGAATTACATGGAGATATGATGGGGACATCTCCCCTGCATCCTTTTTATCTTTAAGATTGGCACCAATTTCTGCATCCTCCCGGAAGGTGATTGTGTTTTTGTTTACTATTCTGCCTGGAGGGTAGGTGGAGACTATTTAAGATACAGAGATCTCCACCCCACAAGTTACATGCCCCATCAGGATTTTCCCCCACCCACTCCTGGCCTCTAGGCCTCTAACTACAGTTAAGTTGCAGCATAGCCCAGAGACTCAGGACTTTCATGGCCATCCCCCAGCTCTCCCCATCCCGTAAGTCAGGGCTTAAAAGCCCACCCCTGACCTTGGTGTGGCAGGCCTGCCTTGGTTGGGACTGGAGGAAGGTGAAGTACTCAGACAGGTGGTAGTCATATGAAGAGAGAGAGGGTGAAGAAGTAGGGGGAGACGGGTAGTAGATCGAGGTCCCCTCAGGAATTATAGGACATTGGATCCAGAACACTGTGGATGTAGCGGTGGCAGTAAGAGGAGTAAGTAGCAGTAAGAGGATGGAGGAGGCAAGGATAGGATGGTTGTAGATGCAAATAAATGTTAGGTTTGGCGGCAGAGAAGGAGGGACTTTCTGTCTGATGTCTTCCCATACATCTTTAAAGAAATGTGTTTTCTAACATATACACAGCGCAAGCATTCCTTCCTGTACAGATAAGTACAAAGGGGACTTGTGCACAGACATTGAACCCCACTGTTGGATGAAGTAATTCACAGCTTCCTGAATGAGAAAGCAGACAACCAGAACACAGAAAAAGTGAGAATGTCTGGGTGACTAGGGGAGAAGATGGGATTTCATTGCCCAAAGGCACCTTAACTGGTGGATATCAATCAACAGTCATTCACAAACACATGCTTGACCCCTTCAGGAGGAAGGAGCTATAATGAATGAGACACAGTCCCTGCTCCTGAGTTCCTGAAAAAGACTACAGAAGCATGCCTAGATAACTCCCAAAATGTAGCCCTCTCTCTGAATTTTCTCCACATTAACCTCAGTTTCTTCAGGTAGGTGGTAGAGGTGGGAAGGGTTCCTTTGCTGAGAACTGCAGTTTGGCCATCATGAGGGCACAGGCAAGCATTAACTGAGCTGGACTTGGCATCTTGGCCTGGGCCTCCTTCACTGCTCAGTGCCTGTGGTCAGAGCTTCAAGGGGAATATCAGACAGAAGGAGTCCCAGGATGGGGGACCACATTTCCCACTGGGCCACCCTCTCTCCTCCTTACCTCAATTCTGGTTCCCAGGATCCCTGAATCAAAAACAAAGTAGATGGCTATGGGAGAGGCTGTGGAAGACAGGCGAAGCTCTTTGTTGCTAAACTTTCTTGTAGAGCTTCATTCCTTCCTCCGTAAATCAACTCCTTTTACTGGGAGCGCTTCCTTGTCCGTACGCCAGCCCCTGGCCCTCAGTCAGTACAGAAAGTCATTTGTCATGGCATAGGGTTGGCAGAGCTGCTCCCATGACGTGCTTTCTTGGGTGCCCTGGGAACCCTGGAATGGAGTGAAATGCTGTAGGTTCCATCAGTCTTTACTATATGAATGGATGCTGAACTGTTCGGTGCAGGCTCACCATTTTAAGGCTCGCCCAAACCCTTGTGTTTTCTTAAAAGGAAATCTCCCCCGTTCCTCCAGCTAACCCTTTCTACCTTGATTTCGACATGGTCTGGGGCTCACAGAGCCTCCTCCTGTGAGTGACTGTCTCATGTGTCTGTGTCTGTCCCTCACTGTTCCACCATTCTGTGCTGTTTGTGCTCGGTGGGACTCCCAGAAACTCTGGTGGCAAGGTCTGCTCCGTCTGCCATCTGATGCATCTTTATTGTACACCAGCATATTCAGACATACGTCTCTGGGCCACATCCCTCGTCAGAGCTCAAAAGACCTACCAGATGGTTCCACCCTAATGTATACCTGGATACATTCTCCTCACTTCACCACAGTGTTTCTGTGGTTTTGGTGGGTGGAGGGTAACTGCGTGCCTCACAGAAGAGGTCTTACAGATTCATATCTACGCTTCCATTGTAAAGCGCCTTGGTGCGTTTTAAGTTTCCGGTAGTCCTAAGCAGTGTTCTGCTAATCACGTCTGCTAACCTTGGGCAGCGGCATGGCCACAGATTTATAGCTGTCAGTGAATTGTCTGAAAACAACTCGGATGAAAAGGATTCTTTCCAGCAAACATTGTTCAGATTTCCTGATAACTGTTGTTATTTTGTTATTTTAGTTATTCTTTGGTAGTTATTTTGTTATATATTTATTGAATGACTGAATGAATGAACCAGTATACTCTATCCCTTTGGCAACTGTGTGTCTGCCCTAATGAAACTGGCAGTCCCCCTGATCATTTTTGGGTGTCCCATTGCCCCTTCTTGCCCATCTTGTATGCTTGAGGCTTTGAGGTTCACCCGAGGCTGCAGATGTCCTGGTCTTTCCACTGTTGAGGTGCCTGTGGGCTTCGTCAAGGGACAGATTCTCTAAGTCTTCTGTACTCAGGGTGCCCACATTGTGAAGAGGCATTCCTGGACAGGTCTTCTCCTGGTCCCCACATTTGGCTCCAACGCCCTCTGAGCAGGTATCTGCTTGGCTGTGTCATTCTCACTGAGTGCTAGGTAGGCCCCTCTGTTTTCAGGCCCATGTGTTTGTTGCCCTTCCTTGTGAAGGAGTCAAAAATAATGATTTCAAGTCCAAAAGAGATAGATGTTTTAGCAGTCCTTTGGCCATTTTTAAAAAAATGTACACGAAAGCACAGTTTGAAAATCTGATTTGATATCAAGATGCTGCTTTTCATAATGAATTTGTTTGTAGCAATTGCAGTTGACCCTTGAACAACATGGGTTTGAACTATGCAGGTCCACTTATATGTGGAGCTTTTTTCTATAAATATATTGGAAAGTTTTTTGGAGATTTGCGACAATTTGAAAAAACTCACAGATGAACTGTGTAGCCTACAAATACTGAAAAAATGAAGAAAAAGTTAAGTATTGTTGTGAGAATACAGCACATAATACATATAACATATAAAATCTGTGTTAATAGACTGTTTATGTTATTGGTAAAGCTTCCCAGTCAATAGTAAGCTATCCGTGGCTAAGTTTTGGGGGAGTCAACTGCACAAGGGTGTGTGCCCCTAACTCCCATGTTGTTTGAAGGTCAACTGTGGTTGTTCATTCATAGGTGTCTTCATTTTTGTTCAGAACCTTTTTATGATGTAAAAGAGTATGAATTTGCTAAGAACTTTCAGAAAATATGTCTCTCACAATAACTTTATCTTCAGGCACCCCACAGTTTACTTGAAGCACTAAAACAGCATTTAGCTTCTTTGGAAGAGAACAATGACAGTTTGCTTCCTTACAGGTAAGATAATAAATGTCTTAATTTAGATTACTTTTGTTTCTCTCTAAATAATTTCCCTATTTTTAACAATATGAAAGTGACTAAGTAAATAATAGGCTTTGAACATGCTGGAACACATTTTAAATGATAATATGGAAGAGAGGTTTTCAGTCTTTTCTGGGATCCCATACTCTCCACAGGGGTGATATGCTTCCCAAGGAAACATCTTTTATTATGTTGAATGATTCTCAAAGTCAGAAGTTGGGACTGGAATAAACCCTCTTTTGAAGAATTTGATTTCTTCTCTTAGAGGCTCCTCTAGTGAGAATAACTGTTGTAGACGATTATTTAATATTTATCCACAAAACAGTGTGCATAGTAACATTCAAGATCTGTGTCTATACACATGTATATGCACATACATATATACACTCCTCTATATAAGAATATATATATATACACACCCCCAACTCCAGCAACCCTCAGTTTGTTTCCTGAGATTAAGAATTCCTCATATCAGTGAGGTCATATGATACATGTCTTTCTCTGATTGACTTATTTCACTTAGCATAATACCCTCTAGGGAGGGATGGGGTGGCTGGGTGATGGACATTGGGGAGGTAATGTGCTATGGTGAGCGCTGTGAATTGTGTAAGACTGATAATCACAGACCTTTACCTCTGAAACAAATAATACATTATATGTTAAAAAAAAAGAAGAAGAAGATAGTAGGAAGGGAAAAATGAAGGGGAGGAAATCGGAGGTGGAGACAAGCCATGAGAGACTGTGGACTCTGAGAAACAAACTGAGGGTTCTAGAGGGGAGGGGGGTGGGGGGATGGGTTAGCCCGGTAATGGGTATTAAGGAGGACACGTACTGAATGGAGCACTGGGTGTTATATGCAAACAATGAATCATGGAACACTACATCAAAAACTAATGATTAATGTATGGTGATTAACGTAACATAATAAAATAAAATTTAAAAAAGTATATATACAAATTAAATAATACAAATTTTGAGGTATATCCCTTCAAAATGTTCATGTGAGTTATTTCTGAGTGGAAAAATTATGGTTGATTTCAATTTTCTTTTCTTTTCTTTTTTTTTTTACTTTTCAGTATTGTTCAGAATTTCTATAAGGCTCATGTATTATTCATTCATTCCACTGTTTAGGTTATGTTGATTACAATTGACTTATATTCATGTCCTATTAGACAACAAGTCTGTTGACTGTTTCTTTTCTTTATCATAGATAGATGTATAGTTGGTACAAAGTTGGATGGATGGAATAATGGATGGATAAATGGTTGAATTAAGGAAATGTAGGCTCAGCTGGGTAGGATATATGTGATTCTATTTATTCTCCAGTGTGTCTCATTTTTCTTGTAATCTTTTAAGTCTCCAGCATGCATTGATCCCCTCTATCCCAAATAATCCAGTTATGAAAGCTTCAGCAAGCAGAGCTTGGTTTGCAGGTAACATAACTCGATTATATGATTATATCAGTAATCACTGAAAGCAGAATTAGAGTCTTTAGTTCTTCCACTGCTTAACCACCTACTGTGTCTGTTGCCTCTTCCTGAAGCAGTCTTGGACCTAGTGATTTCATTTGTAGAATTTATCTAATGTATACATTCAGGGTTGTGAAATGATACATGAACGGGGATATCCGTTAACAATGTTGTGATAGCAAAATGACTATCAATAAGGGGCTTGTTTTTATGTACTGAAATGGAATGATCTCTAAGATATATTGTTAAATGGAAAATAAGCAAGGTGTGAAACAAAGTATAGTATGCTCCCATCTTCATTTTTAAAAACAGAAAAAAGAATATGTACATTTGTATAATTTCTTAAAGAGTACTTCTGGAAAGATATACAAAAAATGAATAAAATGTACTGCCTCCACGAAGAACGTGCTGAATTTTCAGGAATTTTGCAAGCTGGTTGATGTCACATTGGTAACTTGAAATTGGCCATGATGAAAGTATTTACACCACAGAAATGGACAAACACTGTAAGGCAGGCCTTTTGTTTTTCTTGGAGAGCTGGTTGTTATACATTTCCTGGCACATGACAGCTCATAATCAGTCATATTCTGTTCTTTAATGGGTGATTGCGTTTCAGTGATGTCACTTGATCCTCTAGACACAAATTCATGTAATAATGTTATATTACCATAGAGTTTATATTGTTTGAATTAAAGTTTGTTCTTAATTTAACTTGAAGACTTAAACTGTATCTATTTTAAATGTTTTTACTTTTCTTTTGTACATATACTCTCAATGGACACAACTTCTGCATTTTCAATGGGTGAGTTTGACCAAAATTTTGAGGAACATAAGTCCTTTGAGTAAAATCCTACTATAGCAAAAGTGGCACGTTTGATTTGTTTCCAAAAGAATGACTGCTTTCCTGAGTTCCCGTGGTTTGGGAACCATTAGTGCTTACAACAGATATTACAAGAAGGGTAAATATAGTATTTGACAAGCTGTGGCTTCAGTCTGTTGTAAATGTGAGTTCCAAACCAAGTATAGGGGGAATGGGGAGCTACTACCATTCTGTTATAAAGCCCTATGGCTTGCCTTTACCCTCATTGCTTGAACCAATTCTGTTGACAATCCTATGATCAGCTGAAAGCACGTTTTTTCTTAAATCACTGATTTAAAAGTACCTGCCATGAAACCGGAGTGCTTGGATTCAATTTTCACTCTACCATTCATGGATGGTGTGACTTTGGGCAGACCACTTAACCTCTCTGTGCCTCAGCTTCCTGATCCTCATAAGGTTGCTGTCAGGATAAATGAATCAATACTTCTAGAGTGCTTAGAACAGGGCTTGACCCATGTGTTACTTAGAAATGCATTTTAAAATTTCATGTATATGGGAAATGGGGATATTTTAATCTTATTTTTTATTTTAATTCCAGTATAGTGAACATGCAGTGTTATATTAGTTCCAAGTGTACAATATAGTGATTCAACACTTTCATACAACACCTGGGGCTCCTCAGGACAAGTGCCCTCCTTCATCCCCATCACCTATTTCACCCATCCCCCCACACACCTCCCCTCTGCTGACCAGTGTGTTCTCCATAGTTAAGAGTCTGTTTTGTCTCTCTCTTCCCCCGCCCCGTGATGGTTTGTTTTGTTTCTTAAATTCCACATGTGAGTGAAATCATACGGTATTTGTCTTTCTCTGACTGACTCATTTCGCTTAGCGTAATACCCTCTAGCTCCATCCACGTCACTGCAAATGGCAAGATTTCATTCTTTTTGATGGTTGAGTAATATTTCATTGTGTATATATACCACATCTTGTTCATCCATTCATCTATCAGTGGACACTTGGACCATTTCCATAATTTGGCTATAGTCAATAATGCTGCTATAATGTAGGGATGCACATATCTGTTTACATTAGTGTTTTTGTATTTTGTGGGTAAATACCCAGTAGTGAGATTACTGGAAAATAAGCTAGTCCTATTTTTAACTTTTTGAGGACCCTGCATATTGTTTTCTACAGTGGCTGCACCAGTTTGCATTCCCACCAACACTGAAAGAGGGTTCCTTTTTCTCCACATCTTTGCCAACACCTGTTGTTTCCTGTGGTGTTGATTTTAGCCATTCTGACAGATGTGAGGTGGTATGTCATTGTAGTTTTGATTTGTATTTTCCTGATGCTGAGTGATGTTGAGCATCTTTTCATGTGTCTATTGGATAAATGGGATCTTCTAATGATCTTTTTTGCTACCGAATTCTAGCTTACTTGCACTGTGTCAAAGAACCTTCTCTATAATTTCAGTCCTTTGGAATCTGTTGATACTTGCTTCATGGCCCAGCATATAATCATTTTTTTTTGGTAGAAGTTTCATGTGCACTGGAAAACTGTATCCTGTAATTGCTGGATACAGTGTTCTGTGTATGTCCATTAGGTTGAGGTTGTTAATTGTGTTGTTCAAATCCTCTGTATCTTCATTATTTTGCCTGCTTGTTCATAGAGTTACTAAGAAAGGTATGTTAAAATTTCCCTTGTTTCCTCATAAGCTATGTTAAGCACTATTTTTATCCTCCACGCCACTATATGACTCTTGTCAAAGTCACCAGTCACCTCCATGTTGCAAGATCTGATGTTGATTACTTGGTCTTCCTCTTATTAGGCCCCCTAGTTCATCACTCCCACTTCCTTCATGCACTTTCTTCAGTTTGCCTATTGGTTTTCTTCTTATGCGACTCTTGGCTCTTTTTTAGACTTTTTTTTTTTATACTGATTTTCCCTCATTTCTCCTCTTTATGTATACTTTTTCATTGCCTCGATGACCTCATCCAGACTCAAGGCCTTAAATACTGTTTACATGATAAGGACTCCCAAATTAGTATCTCTAGTTCCAGACATTTCTCTTGGACTCCAGAATTATATATCCAAGTGTCTATCCAGTGGTTTCACTTGAATTATCTAATAGGGTTCTACAACTCAATATGTCTAAAACTAAGCTTCTGATATTCCATCCCAAACCTGCTGATTTTACAGTTGACCACTTCTCACTATCTTCAGTGCTACCACCCTAGTTCAAGTTACCACCACTTCTTAGCTTCTTCCGTTGCCCTCTACAGTCCATTCTTTACATAGCAGAGTGATCCGATTAGAATACAAGTCAGATGGATCATGTCTCTCCTCTGTTCAAATCCCTCTAGTGGCTTCCCCATCTCAGGGAAGTTGGCCTAAGATGGTGGCCTCAGAGTAAAATGCAAAGTCCTTACAATTCTTTACAAGGCCCTCAATTGCCTTTCTGACTCCTTTGATTACTCTGACTCCAGACACATTGGCCTCCTCACTATTCTTCAAATATACTCCTTCCTGAGGGCCTTTGATCATGTTGTTCCTTCTGCTGGGTCCACATGGTTCACTTTTCACATACTTTAGGTCTTTACTTAAAAGTCCTCTTCTCGGGGCGCCTGGGTGGCTCAGTCGTTAAGCGTCTGCCTTCGGCTCAGGTCATGATCCCAGGGTTCTGGGATCGAGCCCCGCGTCGGGCTCCCTGCTCAGCGGAAAGCCTGCTTCTCCCTCTCCCACTCCCCCTGCTTGTGTTTCCTCTCTCGCTGTGTCTCTCTCCGTCAAATAAATAAAATCTTTAAAAAAAAAAAAAAAAGTCCTCTTCTCAGTGAGCCTCTCCTATCTAAATTTACATACCCCCTCCCCCACCAACATATCATACTTCTTTCTCTGTTATTTTTCCCTCGGCACTTACCACAATCTAACATATACTTCATTTGTATTGATTATTTTCTGTCTCCAGTGGAATGTAAGCTACAAGAAGGCAGGGATTTTTATCTTTTTTGTCTTCACTGGTGTATCTTTAGCACCTAGTATGGTGTCTAACGAATCCTCAATTAAAATGTATTTAATGAATAATTTTACATGACTTTATTTAAACTCATTAACCTAAGAACTTGATGTGCTGTTAGTTTGTAATGGGAGGTACATATATATCATTATTGATATAAATTTGGTTTAGTTTTTCATCTAATTCTGTCTCTTATTTTCAGATTATCTTCCCTATATGATATATTATAACCAACATTACCTTCACAAGCCCACAAACCTGTTGGAGCCAGACAGCAATGTGGAAAAACCATAGCGAACAATCTGGATGGCTCACTTGCTAGCCTTGTAGGAAGTAAGCATCTATTTTTAAATCAATAATCCAGATATATATATATTTTTAAATGCATTTTAAGAAAAAGCATACAAAATTAATGTAAAATTTGTTTGTTTTATGAAACAGATCTTAACCTTGGAGAAAGCCCAGTCAACAAGTAAGTTTTTATTATTTAAAAAGGACAGCCGATAACACATACATGTTAGAGGAAGAGACTCATGAGAATAACAACTAGAAAATAATTATTTTAGAATTCGATATAGGAATCATTTGTTACAAAACTCTATAATATGTGAATTTTTTTTCCTTCAAAAATTAAAGTAGAGAATTTACTCTTTATATTCTATCCCAGTTTTTGTAGGTGAAGTTCTTAGTTAAAGTGCAATGTATTATGTATTGCATGGTTCTCCCTTCTACCCCTCTGACAATCCCTTTATGGTTCATCTGAAGGATCTTCTTTTTCTAAGCATGTTTTAAATATTGGCATTTCTCAAATTTTTTGTACTTTTGGTTCTTTTCTTACTTTATTATATAGACTGTATTAAATGAATAATACCTATTTTTTATTTTGTTAAACAAAGACAATAAAACCACCAGCTGGAGCTCCTCAGCATCTTAAGATAATCAATGTTACTTCAGTGTGTGAATCCCTACATTTTCAGCCAAAAAAAACTCCAAAAAGCAGGCAAATTGAAACCAAAGGAAGGCAGAAGTGATAATATTAACAACAAACACTGTGGAATGTAAGTTTAAAATCACTAAACAGAATAAGGAAGGATATCATACAATGATAAAAGACACTTATTATGGAGACACTGTTTTGTGTATACACAAATTTAAATATATAAGGTAAAAATTATTAGAAATACAGGAAGAACTTGAGAAAAGAAAATAATAAATAATAATCCTGAGTGTGTGCACGCACACATACACACACAATGTTTATTTTCTTCAAAGCAACCAAAAAGAAAAACATGACAAAAAACTAAAGAATTTTACAGGCTACATTCTGTCATAATCTAATGAAATCAGAACTTGTTAATAAAAAATTGGGCATGAAAATCTTAACTATTTATAAGTTTAACCTTTGCCAAAGAGGAAATACATAGTTTGATAACTATCAAAAGGTAAACTCAGAGGAAAATTTCTTCATTGTAAAAAAGAGAAATTAATAAGAATTTAGTTTTTATCTTAAGAAATCTATGTAAAATTGTAAAAAAACAAATTAGATAAAATTTATAAAGATAAAAGCTCAAATTAATAAAATTGCAAACAAAAACAAACGCAAAACTTATTTCTTTGTAAAGTCCAATAAAAGAAGATCCTCTGACTAAGCAGAAAAGAGTGTAAAAGTATAACAACGTGAAGATTTTTTTTTTTTTTTTTTTTTGTGAAGATTAAGAGGGCTGACATGACCACAGGTGTAGGCGAGACTAAAATAATAAAAGCAAATACTTTATGCAACAGTTTGGCAACAACATATTTGAAAATTGGGAGTAAATTGATGATTTCCAGGCAAAATATAAACAACAAAATTCATCCAAGAAACATGTATGGACCAAATACCACACAAGGTTTTTTTTTTT